GTTGTGTCAGGAAGGTGAGCATCATAGAATGCCAATTTAATAGAACAACCTATTCTTGCATTGAGGGAGTACTTGAGTGGAGGCCCAATGTCCTTCTACTACCTTAATACTAAACCTATAAATATAGGCACATAGATCTATTTCCCCATTCTCATATATAAATATATTTGCATATGTACATGTCTTTAGCTAGACCTCTATAAATGCCCTTTTCCTCCCAGCTCTTTCCTCTTTTTCCCTTGAATTTCCTCCTGAATCGGGACTTTTTTAAAATGCCGTGGGACGCGGGGAAATTTGTTAAAAATCAGTACTGTCCCGGCAAAAGCGGGATGTCTGGTCACCTTACTTCCAATACACAGAAGGAGGGTGGGAAATCAGAGAAACTGCATTTTTGTCCACCTCAAACCTTTGATTTGCTGCTGAGGCCTACATCTGTGGTTCCCTGGTGGGGTGTTGTTAACTACTTTTGTGTGTGTGTGTGTGTGTGTGTGTGTTTTAGTATTCACCTCGGTCATCATTAGCCCTTGCGGTCACCCACGTGTCTTCCTCTGCCTCCTTCATTTGGTGCTTACCTCTCTGCTCTAGTGAGGCTGGCCCAGGATCAGGCCGTGTTCCATTCTGTTGTGCGGGGGACTCTGGGTCGGAACCGACTCATTGGCACCTCCAAACAGCAACAGCTGTGACTGTGGAGTGGAGGCCTCCTCTCTTTCACCGGCCGCAAGGACCTGCTGCTCCCGCGTCAGAGGAGAACCGTGCTTCCCTGGATGGTCAGCGACCGACCGGTCTTTTGGTTTTTTTATTTTCAGTGACTGCTGGTTTTCAAAAGTAGATCTCCGGGCCTCTCTTCAAAGTGCTGCTGGGGGATTTGAAGCTCCAACCTTTCAAGTAGCAGCCCAGAGTATTAAATTCGCACCTCTCGGTCACTCCCAATAAACTATGACTTCCTTCTCCAAACTCCCCAGCGGGGTGCCCCCAGAAGCTCGGGGCTGTGAGAGAAACCACGTCCCATCTAGAGACAGCCGGCCTGCTGATCAGGGGCAGAGTCTGTCAGTGCGTCTGCCTCGCCCCTGCTTGTGTGGACAGTTTGTTTTTATCAGGCAGGCTGGGGCGCAGTTAGCAGCACCACGCCCCTGAGAGTGGGAGTCCCTGCAGCCACCAGCCTCGGTGCTGGCAGACTAGGGACGCAGCCACTTGGTCTCCCTGCTGCCCTGGCACGGCCGTTTTGCCAAAGGGCAGGGCTTTCAGAGAAGCATTTTTAGAAAAAGAAAAACAGGATTGTGAAAGGCTGTTCCCTGGAGCTTTTATTCTGGTAAAAGACGTTCTACTGTATCGACTGTATGGTTGCAATGCTACTTGCTAAGTAAGGGGTGACGTTTGCCTCTGAGCTACTGTTACTGTAAAGATCTCTCTGCCCCAGTTATCGCTCACGGGTAAGTTCCTTTACTTTTTTTGCTAGCTTTCTAAGAACTCTTCTTCCTAAAATATTTCCCCACACCAGAATCCATGCTGTCTATTTGAAAGGCATATTTCACCAATAGGAAAAGCGATCGTTGAATCTGAGGAAATGTTCTGTCTTAAAGCAATGTGTTTTTCATTTTTGGCAGGATACAATGAGCGATCAAGCACTTGATGCCCTTTCTGCTTCGCTGGGAACCCGGAAATCAGAGCCCGAGCTCGACCTAGGTGCCCTTAAGGAAGTTGAGGAGGTACTGTGCACGGAGGGGCTGAGTGAGCGGTCTGCAGGTGACAGCGCGAAAACGTAGAGGCTTCTTACCCAATATGTACTGGAGGTTGGAATGAACTGCTCGGCCTCCTGCCTTACACTCAGAGTCTGGTGACTATAGATCGTTATTACTCGGTCATCAGCAACTGAGAAGAGTCTTTGAGTCTTTGCCTGGTAAAGCAACTAGTGTTCTAATATTTAAAATGAACTCCAGTCTCCTTGGCCAAAGCCTAACTGACTGGTGACTGAACAAGATAACACGCTGTCGGTGGCCTGTTGAAAAATAGAAAGGTGTGTCTGCTCTTGTGAAAATGGGATATTTATATTTTAGAAGATTTCTGGGTCCTCCTTGTTTGTACAGAGAGGTGGAAGTAGGTGAGATAGGAGACCCCTCTTTTATTACATGGATGCTAAAATATGAGTCAAATAATGATAAAATCAAGTATAATTACTTCAAGATCTTAACATGCCTTTTTAGCCAGAGCAAGCTTATATTTGGTGCAAGAAGTTTTACTCTTAGATGATATATGATACCTCAAAAACCAACTCACTGCCATCCAGTCCTTGCTGGCTCTGAGCGACCCTCTCTGGGTTTGCGGGACTGTAACTGTTCACAGGGATAGAAAGCCCAGTCTTCCTCCCGATATAGCATATATGTAATGATAATTACATATGATATATAAATATAAATGATGTGTGTTTGGGTAGAAGGCAGACTTCTGGAGGACATGAGGACAGGACTGGTGAGTAGTGGGCAGTAGAAGCCTGGGGGGCAGGGAGAGGGTCCCTCATAGGCCCCGCCTAGCTGCTTGGAGGAAGAGTGCTCATAAGTGGTGATGTCACAATGCCACCATCTCTGTTGTCACTTCCTGGTTCTGAGTTGCCTGGGAGAGTGAGTCTCTCAGACATCCCGCAAGCTCTCCCTGAGCTTGGAATTGCCCTGGTCCAAATGGGCCAGTTTCTATCTTCCACTTTCCTCGAAGGCTTACCAGTAACGGTGTGGCATGATAGGGTTCATGAAGAGGAACACAGAGGATCAGGAGAAGCAGCCGCCCTGCTCCTCCCAGACCAAGTAATGTATTGGGGGAAACGCAGCTCTTCTAGGTCCTGCACTGTGGGAGGTGTAGGTACACGCCCTGGTGTAGCAAAGGGAAAGCGTTGTGGTCCCAAGGACAGAGTGAGTGGTCTTGGCAAAGTCAGGAGGGCAAATCAGACACCAAGTGGTGGTCCTGGCACCAGAGGGCTCATGTAGCCTCGAGTGATTGGACTCAGGCTCCGTACAGAGAATTAGGGTGATCAAAGAAGATCAGCAATATGGAGACTTACGTTCTGGGGCAAAAAGACTCTCAAAGGAACTACGATCAGCTCAGTAAATGTAAAACAAGTGACCCACGAAGGACTTTTAAAGCACTCTTTGTGACTAGTTTGGGGATACGCAGAAATGCGGTGGGATGTGTTAAAGCTCCTCCCGCACAGCCCAGAGCAGCAGAAGCCCTCCACTCTCGGAACAGGAGCTCTTCTCTTCCACCCTGCTGCCTCAGGAGGTTTCCTCCTCAGTCGCTGCCACAGTAGAATGACTTGTCAGGGAGAGTCCTCAGTTCTCTGGATTGTCCAGCAGGATCTTCATACCTGACGACAGCCTACTGCTGGGATAAGGCTCACCAAAGCTGGGAGTGTCCTACAGGTGTCCACCGACACTCTAGCACATTCCACACAAGATGGTTTTCTGTGGAAAAGCTCTATAATCCTTCAGAGACGAGGGGCAGGAATGTTTATTTTGTCAGTGAAACTGCAGTATGTTTCCTGTGTTTTGTGTGGGACTGCTTAGTTGAGCCATGTCTCAATGCAGAAGACGTTTTCTCAGTGCCTACTGTGTCCAAGCCACGGAGAGGGGCCTTGCAGGACCCAGAGGTAAACAGGGAAAAGAAAGGCTCGAGCTGGGCCTGTAGCTCCCACTGCCCACAAGCCTGAGCCTCGGGGAGCGCACGCTGTCGCCTGAGTTTGGGCTGGAAACTTGACCGATCCCTGGATTGGAGACTACTAATACTTGATAGGACTTGCCCAACATGGTGGAGTAGAATACAATTGGAAATTGTTTCCTCTTTTTCTGTGATCGAGAGGAATAGAAGTACAATTCCAAAGCCTAATTCCAAACAGTAACTGGCTCATTAAAGGGCATCATCATTTTGTAAATGTATTAATCAATTAACTGATGAATCGGTGTTATTGTGTGCCATTAAGCCGTTCCTAATTCACGGTGAGCCTGCGGGCGAGGGTAGAGCTGCCTCCTAGAGTGCGCTAGGCTGTGATCCTTATGGGAACAGATTGACAGTTCTTTTTCTCATGCAGTGGCTGGTGGGTCCAAATGGCTGGCTTTTCAGGGAGCAGCTGAGCTCTTAACTATTGTCATCAAGATCCCTTCTAGCAACCAGCTGAGAGCTACTGTCACAGGCTGTGAAATCGATGGAAGTGTGCTGGATGCAAGTGAATTCCCCACCACGTTAGGCACATAAGTTCCTTAAATTAAATTCATTCTTTAGTACAGGTACAGAATATTCTATGTCACAGAACTTTATGGTTGCTTGAGATGCTTAGATGCAACTCTTATAGTCTCAAAGGCCAGTGATTAACAACACACAGCCATCGAGTCAATTCTGACCCAGAGTGACCCAATAGGACAGACTAGAACTGCCCGTGTGGATTGCCAAAACTGTAACTGCACAAGAGTAGAAAGTCTCATCCTTCTCCCTCCGAGCAGCTGGTGATTTTGAACTGTTGACCTTATGGTTTGCAGTGTAACACATAATCTTGCAGTGTGACACATAATCCACTATGACACCAGGCCCCTTAACTGCAGAGCTGCAATTTTCTCTGTAAAGCACTTAGCTGTTCATGGTCCACTAACCCACGAGGTCCTGGTGCAATTGAAAGGGGTCTTGACAAACAAGGTAAAACTCATTAGCCACAGATCAGCCAAGATTTGTGAAGAGATGCTTCCCTCCTTTCTGAACTGGGGTTAGCACTCAGGAGAATTGGTTGGTTCCCCCCGCCACCTTCCTCCTCCTCCTTAGGGGGCTGGTCACATAGTGGGTTATGCATTGGGCTGCTGATCTCCAGGCCATTAGTTCAAAACCATCTGCTGCTCCATAGGGATAAGATGAGCCTTTCGACTCCCATAAAGAATTACAGTCCAGGAAACACACAGGGTCAGTTCTGCTCTGCCCTATGGGGTTGACATGGGTCAGAATTGACAGTAAGCATTCCTTCGTGAATAACCTCAGTGGTTAAGGCAGGTAACCCCCAAACGAAACTTCTTGCCAACAAGTCAATTCGGACTCAGCAACCTATAGGACAGGGTAGAACTGCACCTGTGAGTTTACGATATTGTAACTCTTTACAGGAGTAGAAAGCCCTGTCTTTCTCCCATGGAGCAGCTAGTGGTTTTGAACTGCTGACCTTATGAGCTGCCCAGCACATAACCACTACGCCACCAGGGCAGGTAAAGGCCATTAAAATTACTGCACGGGACTTATGTGCAGAGGTTCAGTGTTGTCAAAAGGATCTTTTCTTTTTCTCTGGAGAGCCTTGCCGTCCCTGAGCTAAGCCAGCAGTGCTGCTGGGGGCCAGGGAGTCGGTTCTGACTCGGATGGACCCTGTCGGACAGGCAGCCTGCCCGGTGGGGTTTCCGGGCAGTCGTCTTCACAGGAACAGATTGCCAGGCCTTTGGTGCACCGAGCAGTTTGAACTGCCAGTCTTTCTCTTAGCAGCTGACTGGTAATCATTTCGATTAGCAGCCATTGTCCACCTTATTATCAATGAATAATAAGGATTACTAATAGTCCCATTTTACAGCTAAACAAGCCTCGCTGGAGAACGACTATTTCCCCCATCACCGAGCATGAGGAGCGCAGAGAGCCGGAAGCCCCTCCTTGTTTTTCCGCAGTCGGCCCGCTGCTTTCCACACAGCCACCTTCTCTCTGAATGTCTCTTCTCTACAAACCTGTGAAGCCCAGGGAGAAGCGCTGTCATTTCCTCTCTGTGCATTCTCCAAGTGACCGTGCCTTTTTCTCTCCCTTCCATCAGGCAAAAGCCAGAGAGGAAAAACTAAAGAAGTGTGGCGAAGATGAAGAAACCGTTCCATCTGAGTTCAGACTGAAACCAGCCACGGTACGTCTTCGCCACGTGCACCACGGTGGCATGTGCACTCCTGTCGTGTGTGGTCAGGTCCCTCCGCTTGTGCTGAGCACGTGTCTGCCACGGGTCAGGCATCAGCCCTGGAAACTCTGCAGCCTTCTCTGCCCACGACAGTTAGGTCAACTGACAGAGCGTGTGTATCTGCCCGAGTTCCTAGGTAGCCGTTAAAATAACAGGTACAATTAACTGTGATGGACATAGATCTTAACTTTAAAGCAGAAGGACCAATTTAGGACTAAGTTTTTCTTTGCCTGTCATATGGCTAAAAGCATGGTAAATCGTCTAACGGGGCTTATAAATGGTCAACTCTTCAGACCAAACTCAAACCTATCATCACTAGTGGATTCCAACTCATGGTAAGTGACCCACTCGGACAGAGTAGAACTCGCCTGTCGGGCGTCTGCCACAGACCCGCGGGTCTCCCTCTCCTCCCGTGGAGGGGCTGGCGTGAATGCCTGGCCTCTAGGCTCATGGCTGAGTGCTGAACCACTGGACCAGCAGGGCCGCTGAGAGCAGTGGACAGGTCTCCTCAATTAAGGGGTTTTGCTAGTGGTTTGGGTTTGAGGTGAGGATGTTGCACTAACTCTTGTCATTATCGTTTTTAATTATGTTGGACATGTATAAATGTGATGTAAAGTGTGATGACTCTTCAATGGCTCTGGCTGGCTACGTCACAAGTTTTTTCATCTTTATAAATATTCTGAAAGCTGGCAAATATTTCAGAGATGATTTTCATCCCCTTAACTCTTATGTTGTTTATTCTTATATTTTAATCTCTCATTAAGATAGTTGCCTCTTTCTTGTCAAATAATTTGTTTTCCTCATTGCCCTCTCCAATGGGTGGAAACTGTATTTTTTTAGTAACTTGTAAATGAAAACAATATTTGGTAAAATTTTACCAGCTGTATCCACTTAACTCCATAGAAGCTACTAAGTCAGCAAAAACATCTTGTTGGAGATGTGTGATCATTTGTATTGCATACCAATTCCTTATCCTCATGCTTATATAAATGGTAAATGTGAACCACACACTCACTCGAATTTAAGAGTGAAAACAAACTCCCTTCGCGGGTGCTGGAAGTCCCCACAGTCTGGGTGGGGGTGGGTGTTGCTGGGTGCCGTCAAGTCGGTTCTGACTCACAGGTACCCTGTGTGCTACGGAGCAAAACACTGCCTGGCCGTGCGCCAGCCCCGCATCTGTTCTTATGTTTGAGCCCATTGAGCTGGAATATACCTTCTGGGACATGAAAACAAAATGCTTATTTCTAGTTAATTTTCATTTTCATTTACAGGACAAGGATGGAAAACCACTATTGCCAGAGCCTGAAGAAAAAGCAAAGGTTAGGCAATACATTTTACCTGACTTTTGAAACACAACAGAAGTGAGAAGTGTAGATGGACTCTTTTTGCAGGCCAGACTTTGCTGTGGAGATGTGCCTGGAAACTTCCGACAGTAGCACTTGGCTGACAGCTCTAAAAACATTCTGCATGATTACAGTCCTCATGCATTCTCATTAGCCTGATTAAAATCCATTGGACACCCATCACTAGCCTGATTAAAATCCATTGAACACCAGTTGCTGACGTCAAGGTAGCTCTAAAACAGAGGTCCTCAAACTTTTTTAAACAGGGTCAGTTCACTGTCCCTCAGACCACTGGAGGGCCGAGCTATAGTTTTTAAAAAAAAAACTATGACAAATTCCTATGCACACTGCACATATCTTATTTTGAAGTAAAAAAACAAAATGGGACAAAAACACCCGGCAGGCTGGATAAATGTCCTCGGCGGGCCGCATATGGCCTGAGGGCCATAGTTTGAGGACCCCTGCTCTAATACTTGATGTCGTTAGCCCTGGTAGAGCCGGCTCCTAATCATGGGATGAAAAATACTTGAATATCTCTGTTGTGCCTTATGTGGGTAGCAACCATCTTAATGACCTGTTATAATAACAGTAATTAGCAACATGCCTCATCGCGTGCTGTACTACGGCACTGTGTCAGTGCTCTATAGTCCTCACGGAGGACTTCATTGTTAGTCTCATGCTCCAGGTGAGGAAACTGAGACACCGGGAGGTTAGAGAGGTTGCCCAAGATCATTCGACTAGAAAATAGCAGGGCTGGGCCTCAAAAGATAAGCCATCCGCATGGGGGCACAGATGCGGAGTCAGCATTCCCTTCTGCCATTGACTGTCTCTGATTAGGCCAAGCCTCCGTCAGCGTCCCTGAAAGAACAAAGGTGGTAGACCTCTGCTGCCAAGAACACAGTCGGAGGAAAGGAGGATAGGCCCTACGTCTTTGCCGGTTCCTTCCAGCTTATTCGGAAGGGAGGCCACTAGGAAGCACAGAAAGCAAAAACACAACTCACACCAGAAACATACACACAGAGCATCATTGGGAATGGATGCACTAAGTTATTTGAGGAAAACAAGTTCTGAAGTTGAGTTCTAGACAAAGTTTTGATGATACTCACTGCCATCAAGCTGATGCCAACCTTTACCTACCCTGCCAGGTAGAACTGCCTCTGTGAGTTTCCAAGACTGTAAGGATTTATGAGAGTGGAAAGCCCTGTCTTTCTCCTGGGGAGCAGCTGGTGGTGTAGGACCGCTGACCTTGTGATTAGCAACGCAGCGTGTACCCACTCTAGCACCAGAGCTGCTCTGGGTTTTCCTATATAACCACTAATACTTTCATAGTGCTGAGTGTGTAGTAGTGTTCAGTTGTTTCATGACGTTGCTATCCTACACTGATAAGTGAAAAATATCCCTTATTTGAAACCAGCTACTTAATAAAATGTGTTGACATTAAGTATAGGGGTTTTGAGACACATATAAACTTGCTTTTGGTTTTCAATCCTAAAATACAGTGAACCCTCGTTTATCGCGGTTAATCGGTTCTAGACCCTACCGTGATAAATGAAATTCCGCGAAGTAGGATTCCTTATTTGTAAATCAAATATTTTCATAGTTAGAGCATAGAGGACATGAAAAAACACCCTTTAGTCACCATTACACTCGTATTACCCAATTTATTAAACGAAAAAGGGAAAATACAGTAAAATATTTTGGACGTTACAATTATCATTTATTATTTATTATATTATTTATGGCATCTAGTTTACAGTATTACATATTTCACATACAGTATTATTATACATAGTTCTTACAAATACTGTAATCAATAGCCTATGAAATGACTTAAGGGATGTACTCTACAGGTGGGTCGCCGTCTTTTTCCTCTGAAGGAGCGGGTGTAGGCAGTGGGCGCTGTTACGCAAAAACCGCGATAGAGTGAAGCCGTGGAAGTCGAAGCGCGAAGTGGCGAGAGTTCACTGTATATCTACTGTAAACAAAATGTTTTTCAGCTTTTTTTATTACTACTTAAAATTAGTCACTTCTTAACATACAATGTTTCTCCTAATGCAGCTCCTGAGTGAATCAGAACTTATTGCTGAACTTTCTGAAGACTTTGAGCCCTCTAAAAGTAAAGAAAAACCACCCGCACCAATGAAAAAAGTAGAAGTATGTTTCTAAAAACGAAGCTCTAATTTTGGGGTGTTTAAAAAATGTTTTTGTGTGATCTTCAACACGCGAGGCCGAGCCCTGGATGGCATGACGTGCTTGATTAAGGAGCCCATCGGGTCTGTCTTTTTCACGGCTGCTCTTTCTCTTGGCTTCTGGGAAGGGCCGTGCTTTCCCCAGCTGACCCTGCCATGTAAACCCCCTTAATGCGCTCATCCTCAACCGCAGGCCATGTCCCGTCATTATCCCTCTAGAAACGCTCACGTAGCCTTTCCTTCTGCCCTGCTCTGTGACTGGCCGGAAGGTGCCATCGCCTCGCACCTCAGGCTTGCAGTGGCCGCCCTTCTTCCCACTCTCCGCCCTGTCTGTCCCTCAGAATGACCCTCTTTCAAGCATATTTGTGGTGATCCCCATTCCGTGTAAAATTAAAAGTTGTGACTCGTGTATTTTGGCACCACCACCTTTCTCCAGCTCTCTCCGGCTGCGTCTTGTCTGTGCAATGAGTACTTTGATGTTTCTCTGCCTTCCTCGTGATGCCCCTTCTGTCTGGAACCCCCCTTCCTCCTCCATGTAGATCAGCGAAAGTCCCACGCATCCGCTAAGGCTCTGCAAGAACCTGGACTCCTTGATCTGCTTTCCCCTCCCCCACTACCCTTCCCACCTCTCTTAACCAGCATGCAACAGAGCAGACGTCGGTCTTCCTGTACGTCTCTCTGCGAGCCTGGGTACAGCCGAATGTTGGTCCATCTCACCCCAATGTTTATACCAGTACATGGGGAAGTGCCTGAGAGCAGGCGGATGCCCTCTGACTGTGTACCTACCGAGTCCCTAGTGCACTGGGTGGTGGTTATTGGTAGATGCTGTCTAATTGCCCTCCAGCTCATGACCCCATGCCCCAAAGAGCAAAGTGCTGCTTGGCCTGGAGCCATCTTTACAGTTGTTGTTTGAGCCCATTCTTGCAGCCACCAGCTCAGCGCATCCCATTGCGGGCCTTCCTCTTGTCCACCAGCCCTCTGTCTGACCACGCGGGAGGGCCTTCTCCAGGAACTGGTCCCTCCTGGGACCATGTCCAGAGTATGTGAGGTGCATCGCACCATCCTCATGTCAGTTGTATAATGTCTGAATTAAAATCGGCTTGTTTGATATTTAGGTTTGTGATTAAAATAAGATAATGGGGGTGATTCTCAAAGTTTAACGTGAATCAGAATCACCTGCCGGGCTTACTAAAACATTACTGCCTCCACTGCCAGCATTTCTGTTTTAGTATTTTGTTGTAGGGCTCAAGAGCTTGTGTTTCTAACAAGTTCCCCAGCAAACCTGATCCTAGGGTAGCGTAACTACCTTACATTGCCTTGTGGCTGTTTACAAAGCTGTTTACTCTTGACAAGTGTATAAACTATATATTGTACAATATAATTGATATATTATTTTGTTATTTATTATGCTGCCTAATGACAAATAATAGCCATCATTGTTAACATCTGTGGAGCTTACTGTCTTCCCAGAGTACTGTGCCAAGCACAGCTCTGTTGCCCATGGACTTACGTAAGTGCTTCCCTTGTCTCCTCTTACAGACATGGGGACGGAGTGTCAGAGAGGCTAGGGGATCTACCGCAGGTGAAAGATGACCCTAGATTGGAATCATGGTAGCTGAAGAGTCTTAGTGTGCCTTGACTTCTTTGCTGCCCAACAGATCCCTAGGCATTTCAGAGAATCATAGTCACCAAGTGCATTGTTGGTACCCCAGTGCTCAGTGCTACACTAACCAGTTGTTGATACAGTCATTCAGAGTGCCTACTTCTTTCTAAAGGAAGCTAAAGACCCCGCCCCAGCTCCTGTGGGAGAGACTGTGCCTCGGGCCTCCATGTGCACTATTCAGTCAGCACCAGCCAAGCCAGCTCCCTTGGTGAGTAACCTCTTGGCCATTGAGGATTTTTTTGAGAAAGTTCTTTTCTTCCTCCTGTACACATTCTGCCGGGTTTAAAAAAAAAACAAAACATTTTAATCTGGCATAATAGATTTAAAAATTTCTCATATAGCTACTGTATCTCTTGTTCTTTGGGTTTTAGGAATGTACCAGAAGTTCTCTGGAAATGTGTTCTAGTTCCTCAGCTGTTTGTGGATAGTCATACTCTACCTTTTCTATAACTTTTAAGCCTGTTGGAAGTTCCACTGGCTCTCTTGGTGAAAAATTTTACCCTCCATGTCTTCCTCCCCACTCAGTGCCATTGAGCCAGTAAAACCTCACAGCGACCCTAGAGGACAGGGTGGAAGTGCCCCTGGGGGTTTCTGAGACTGTAGCTCTTTACAGGGGTAGAAAGCCTCAGTGGATGGTGGCTTCAAACTACTGACTTTGTGATTAGTGTGTAACCACTGTGCCACCAGGGCTCCTGCCTTCCTACTAAAGAAGGGTAGTTGCCTCGCTCCCAACCCTTTTTCCTTCTTCATTTCTTGTCTTCCTCTTTCTTTTTATAATTTGTGTATCTGAGGACTTGTGAATTTTAGCTGGCTGAAAGAAACAGGATCAGAGGCAGTTGATTAGAATCAAAAGGACAATATCCAACATTCTGTGTTCATAACCCACGTGTGTGAATGCCAGCACTCAGAGGGCTTGCTTAGGCCAGCTAAGAAAATGATACTTCTCATTGACACAGAAGTGAAACGCTTGTTTTCTCTTTTCCAACCTCCTTTCGGGGGCCCCTGCCTTGCCAGCTGCCAGCTGCCAAGGTTACAGTCACTGAAGTGATCTGGGCACTTGGGGATTGTGACACCTTGGGAGCCAGGCAGGAGAGCTGGGGAGTGCGATAAAGGTCAGGGGCCTCAAGAAAGGCTGGGGGCTTAGTGAGTGAAGTGACACAGGGAGAGATGAGCGTGCTCCGGCGGCGTCATTCTTGTTTATGTAAAAAGATGTGTTGAGGAACTCCAGCGAGGACATGAAATGCTACAGAAATGGAAGTGTTGGTCATGGGTGCTGTTTCTGGGTGCGTTTGTTCTTAAAAGTGCGCCTTCTCCTGACTTTTCTGTAACTGTTTTACTCGCTCCTTGGACCAGACCTTGACCGAAGGCCTTGCTTTGGGAAGCAGCGCGTAGAGGAACTGGCTGAGATTTGCTCGCAGGGGCAACTTTCACACTTCAGATAAACGAGTAGACAGGTTAGATTATCAGTTTTCTGTGCTCTTAGGGGCACAGTAGATTCTCATTGGGCAACTTCAGCAGTTCAAAGCCACCAGACAGACACTGTTTGAGAAAAACTAGGCTTTCTATTCCTATAAAGAGGTGTAGTCTCAGAAACGTACAGGGGCAGGTCTATCTGATCTGTAGAGTCCCTAGGCGTCCTCGTTGCCTCAATGGCAGTGAGTTTGTAGGCTGGTGATGAGAGTCGATGCAGTATCCAGCCACCAGATGGCAGTAAATTACTTTCCACTCTGCTTGCCTTTCCCCAGAGGCAAGCTTTGCTTCTGCAGTACAGCTTGGTGGGAAAACAATTTTCGGCTAAAATATTTAAGTAGAAGATACTTTGACTCTACAATTTCAAAAGCTACTCACTGTGAAATCATAGCCGACTGTGATAAGAACGAGACTTTCAACCTTTTGCTGTATCAAAACTGAGATAAGGATTTGTGTATTTGTATACCGAAACCCAGTACCACACAACAGAAAAGGCAGCATAGTCAATGGTACTTCCCATGATCTGTGATGGACTTTTTAATTCTAGTCTTAAAAAAAAAACCAAACTGCTCACAAACCATTAACCTGATTCTATAAGGCACTGATGAGTTAAGCAAAGGACCCTAGTTAGGCATTGGACTGCTAATTACAAGTTCAGTGGTTCAAACTCACCAGCTACCCTGTGGGAGAACGATGAGGCAGTCTGCACCTATACAGGTGGATGAGCCTTGGACGTCCAAAGGGGCAGTTGTCCTCTGTCCTGTGGGGTCACTATGAAGTGCCTGATCACTGGCAGAGTCACCTCCAGGGCCCCAGTCCACTTTGCCCAGTAAATGCAGACCCAGCTTGGGCCTCCTCTGCCCGCAGCATGCCACGCTGTCCCACAGAGAGCTGGGAAGAATGGCTTGTCGGCCCAGTGAAAATCTCTTCTGGGCCATCTGTACAGAATCACTTCCTCCTCCTCCTCTGACATCAGCTTCTCCGAGGCCTCATCCATTTCCGTCGTTATTTCTGAATCCAAGCATGGGCTTAGACCGCATGCCCTTCTAACTGTGGAACCAAGGATTCTTGCTCTACTTTTCTTTTTTAACATTTTAGAGATTTTTTTATAAAAGTTTCCATTCAATAGATATTAAGACGATTAGAAGGCGATGTGTTTCTTATCTAGGCTTGGGATAAAAGCACACTCCCGCATTGTTTGATAGCATGTGTTTTAAAAGGAGTGATTCACTACCTACTGAGGATATCCCCTCATACTTCCAGAAGGGTGCGGTGCCAGACGCTGCTGTGGACGCCTTGGCTGGTAGCCTGGGGAAGAGGGAAGCTGTTCCCGAAGATGGAAAGCCTGTGGTGGATAAAGTCAAGGTAATGCCGGCTCAGAAACTTCTGGAAAACCACTGTCATTTATTTATCTGCGCCCCCTCCATAAGTTGTTTTTTTAATTTCCCAAGAAACATGCCCTGTCACGCTCTCTATCACTGTGCATATTTTGATTAGTAAGTTGAACTTAAAAAGCATCAGCAGGGGGCAAATATGAACAATGAACATAATTCTTATTCAGGAGAAGGCCAAAGAAGAAGACCAGGAAAAGCTTGGTGAGAAGGAAGAAACCATCCCCCCTGATTACCGATTAGAAGAGACCAAGGTAAACGAGGCTTTGTTTTTCCTTTTCTATTTTGTGTCAGTCCTTGTTGAGTCCGTAACATAAAACAGAGACTTGGGGTACGAAGGTCCTGCTGATAACTTACACACCAATAATATTAGCTCCCGCATCTCCAATTCCTGCCATCCAGTTGATTCGCACTCCCAGTGACCCCAGATAGGGATTGTGGATCTTTATGGGAGTTGAAAGCCCCATCCTTCTCCCTTGGAGTGGCTGGTGGGTTTGAACCACTGACTTTGTGGTCAGCAGCCCAGCCCTGGCCTGGCAGTGCCACCCGAACGCCTTGAGAAATCTCCTCCTTGAACCTCAGGTATGAAGCTGAAATATGTCCAAGTAGCTTTACACTTGTCCATTAGGTGAAAGAGATCTAATGCCAAAGCTACCCAATTTTTTTTTCTACTCCAATACAGGGTTTTTTAGAATAGCAGAAAAATTAGAAAACTTTATGTCAAGAGAAAAGCCAGCCCCTCTAAGGGGGGGTGGATGTAACTCTTAGGGATAAACCGAAATAAATTTTTTAAAGTCCACTTAACATGGAGCACAGTGGAAGCTGGCCCATTTCCTTTGTTTCGAGTGTGCAAATTCTAAAGTACAAGTGACGTACGCAGACTCTGGAACCCTGTAGTGAAGCCCCGTGGTGAGGCAGACACCATCCTCATGGTGAGCCGCTGCTAGAAGACTCTTCAGCTTCTACTTCATTCGTAATCCAGGAGCCTCCAATGGGCTCCCACGTGCACTAGTCTCCACTGGACAGGAAGGACTGAACGAAGTTCTCCTCGATTCAAAGTACATGATTTTGAATACTTTGATTCTGCGTCCTTCTTGCATCTCAAAGTTAATTCATGTGCGATGCTGGCATTGAGTTTACCTTGGGTGTGTTAGTATGTTGCTTTGCCCTGGGTTCAAGTAGTCCTGGGGGAGAAGTGGGCTATACACTGGGCTGCTAGCCTCAAGGTCGGCAGTTTGAACCCACTAGCCTCTCCCTGGGAGAAAGCTGAGGCAGTATGCTCCCATAAAGATTTACAGCCTTGGGAACTCAAAGGGGTAGTTATGCTTTATCCCACAGAGTCACTATGAATTGGAATCAACTTGATGGCAGTAGGTTTGATTTTGGTTGTGCGGCCTCTTAAGGCCATGTCTCTCTCTCTCTCTCTCCCATCTTCCTGTGTGATAGAAGCTGGTCCCTCCTGGGTCACCTCCTCCTCCCCTCTCTTCACCTCAGTTGCCATTCTTAAGCAAGCCGGCGATTAGCCTTCCAGGCCACTTTCTTCTGCTCTCCTTGCACCCTCCTCCCTCCTTGGTACTTTTCTCAAGCATTACATGTTAATACTGTTTCAGAACGTTTTCAGCTACTGGCCTGATCCCTTGTTTAAATGCAGTATTGTTACCCACCAATGCTTACATAATGGAGGGAAGACCTCAAGTCATCCCCTCCCCCCCCCCAAACCTTCTAGGGGAGACAGTGAAGTGAGAGGAACACACAGTTGGCATATGAATGTGGAACAAAGTGCTCCCACGGCCCCCAGTAAAAACCAAACACCAAAGCCCTCTGTAAACCGAGGCTTTAACTCTCTATGACAGCAGGTAGCCTCATCTTTCTCCCAAGGAGCGGCTGGTGGGTTTGAACTGACTTTGCAGTTAGGAGGCCGAGGCTTACCCAAGACCCAGGCCCCACCCAGCACTTGGCTAGTTCCTGCCTCTGTGGTTGAAAGGTGATGGACGACAAGTCTGGGTTCTGCTTTTCCTGCTAGTTCAAGGATGACTAGATGGTGCAAGCGAACCTGCAGAGCAGATGGACGAGGGAATAAAGGCGTTTCTGTCGGTCAGAGAGAAGCACTTGATGCCTCTAAACCATCGCACCTGCTCACGTTTAAACAGAACCACTGCCACTGACTGCATCCCACACACCGGACCCGACAGGACAGAGCAGAGTTGCTCCGAGGGGTTTCAAGACTGTAAATCTTGACAGCCTCTGCCCTCTCTCCTGGAGCACCTGGTGGGGTCAAACTGCTGACCTTTCTGTTAGCAGCCCCGGGTGTGTAACCAGTGTGGCCCCCAGGCTCCACATTTAAATTAGTAATACACCTCAGCTAGTTTCTTGGTAGAACTTCCCCTATCGATGGCCTTGTGCTTATTTATTTTTTTGTAATTGATAAGCCATCTTTTTATAAAAATTCTGGAAGGCTTCGTGGATTCTGTCCTTTAACCTCAAAAGTAGACCTTAGAGTAAGGTGACCAGATTTTAACATTGGTAAAGCGGGACACCATTGCTAAGACTCCGTATACCCTAGCTTGTTGTGCATTCTTTCCAAAATTCGGGACGTATTTAAAATGCCGCAGGACATGGGGAAAATTATTGAAAATCGGGACTGCCCCGCCAAAAGTGGGGCGTCTGGTCACCTTACCTTAGAGTCATTTTGACGCTTGGGCAATCTTAGTCATGAGTTTCAGAACCTGCCATCCACCCCCAACCCCCACCTTACCCCCACCCCCACCACACACACAAGGTAAGCTCTATGAGGCCAAGAGCCTTTGTCTGTTCTATTTACTGTTGTATTTCTAATGGGGGCTCAGTACAGAGCTGGGCACATTGGTGATACGTATTAATTGTATGCATGATTGATGTGTTAGCTTTCTGCAGACAGCCTTTACCAAGCCCACATGCCAGGCTGTGAGGGCCTTCCCTGTGGCCCTGCGGTTCTGTGCGTACTGTCATCGCGCATGTTACGTCATCACCTTGACTGCTCACTTGTTTTCCCCTGCACAGTTTATAGGCTTCGCTCAATGAATTTCAGCTGCTAGCAGTGCGATAGGACAGGGTAGAATAGGACAAGACAGGTAGAAACCCACAGGCCCCTATGGGTTTCTGAGAGTAATCTTTAGGGAAGTAGAAAGCCTCATCTTTCTCCGACAGAGCTGCTGGCGGTTTCAAAGGGCCAACCCTGTGGTTCGCAGCCCAGTGTGTAATGCACACCACCGCCCGAGCGCCTCTGAGGCCACAAGCTGTGCCTAATCTGTGTGCTTCCCCCAGCATAGCACATACTGATGTGTGCTTACTGTTGTGAGAATCTTTTTTCCTGCAACGAGGCCAGTTCTAACCTGTTGGTCCCCTATAATGTTTCCAAAGGATCCTTTGGATAAGATATGAAATGATTCAATGTCATGTTGATTTATTTTCGTTCTGTTTCATGTTCTCCTCCTCGGACAGGATAAAGATGGAAAACCACTGCTGCCAAAAGAACCCCAGCCACAGCTCCCCGTAAGCAAACCAGTTTTCTCAAGTCTCGTCTTTCTCATTGGGTGTTGGGTGGTTAATTCGATAAGGACCTAGCTTTCCTTTCGTTAGTTTATCAACATGCCAGTAGATCAAAAAACAAACTCTGCCACCAAGTTGGTGCCAACTCATAGCGACCCTGTAGGACAGGAAACTCTGTTAGTTGCTGAGACTGCAATTCTTCTTTTTTCTTTCTTTCTTTTTTTTAGTGAGAGAGTGAGTGAGTGAATGAGTCAGTGAGTCAGTGAATGAGAGTGAGTGAGAGAATTAGAGGGTGAGAGAGTGAGTGAGTGAGTGAGTGAGTGAGTGAGTGAGTGTGAATGAGAGTGAGTGAGTGAGCGTGAGTGAGAGTGAGAGTCGAGACTGCAATTCTTTACCAGAGTAGAAAGCCCTCTTTCTCCCGAGAAACAGCTGGTAGTTTCGAACCTCTGACATTGTGGATAACAGGCCAAAGCATAAACACTAAGCCACCAGGGCTCCCTACCATGTCCATTAGGAACCTCATTTTGAAGAGGAGCCGGAATGACAGGTGGTGTTTGTTGATGCATGTTTTGGTTTTTCAGCCCATGAATGAAGACCTCCTTCTCGATGCCTTGTCTGAAGACTTCTCCGGTCCCCAAGACACATCATCTCTTGTAAGTCTGAAACGGATTTGACCTCCCGACTCTTAGTATGGCAGAAGTAAATGGAAACCTGTGACATCGCGTCTGACATGGCTCAGGGGATTTAATCATAGTTAAGGACCCCTGACCCACCAAGGATTCTGTCGAGCCCACTGGTTGTTTTCAACAGTCTAAATAATTGAACCAGTGAGCAAAGCTTCAGGAAAAATATTTTAATTTCAGTTTACTCAAAAATCACCTCTCAGAGAATATTTGTAAAACTTAACATTTTCCAAACTTCTCCCAGGAGACCTGAGCTCCTTATGAAATAAACAGATGACCGCTCACAGGAGAATCTGTCTCTGAGAGGTTTGGCAGATGTTTCACTACTGGAGGGTTATCAAGACTTTGTGTAGGCCACGCAACGTGTCCAAATTCATACATAGGCACTCACCAGACATTGGTGAGTGAGGTATGTGTTGTTGGTTTACAGGGAACCCAGCTCCTCAGCTAATGAATTTGTTGGTGGAAGCTAGCTGAAAAGCAAACTTTAAAGTCATTTGTGGACGATGACCCGGGACCCCTCTGAAAGCACAGTTCCCCTCCCAGCAGTCCCGCTCTGCCTCCCAGGTCTTCCACTGCTCATGCAGCAGACCGCAGACCGCAGCCCAGTGCACACACTGAGAGCGAAGGAAGAATGTGAAGTAAACAGCAGCCCAATAATATGCGATTGTTACGGATATGACAGCGATGAGCAAAACCTCTAATTAGACTGGGGGCAGCAAAACACACCCCTAATGACTTTCCTCATTCTTGCTGTCAATAGTATTAACAATAGTAAGCTTGCTTGCTTTTTTCCGTTTAAAAATCCAAACATTTTGAAAATATAGCTTTGGCTTTTACTTGTGTTCCCCTGACCCCACAAAGAAGATGAAGCGCAGTGATAGCAGAGATGGAAATCCCTGCTCTTAGAAAATCCAATTATCCAGCAGAGGGAAACATTTGAATGTGTAAAAGCTATAGTTAATAAGGTTGAAAAATAGACTCTTGTACAAGTTAAATGGTCAAAATAGAAGACTATTTGGAGTAAAGTCCAAGAACTTTGGAGAAAAAGCATCCTGTAATTTAAAGAACGAACTGCGTTAATATCCCCCTCGATAACCCTGAAATCAAGGTTCGGTTCAAGATGGACTGTCAAGATAGTGACAAGATGTCCCCAGGGAGAATCTCGGGGAAGCAGACAAAGCAGTGTTCATGAGGCAGACTTAGTACCAAAAATGCCTCTATCAACCATAGCAAAAAAGATGAGCGGTCATCTGTCTGTTGAGTTTTAAATTTAAATTTCTAAAAGATGTAATCCAGTAACCATCCAAACCCAAGCCGCTATCTGCATGCTGGAAGAGGGATTTAGCTGTTTTAGTTAAATAGCAGCAATGTTTCTTTTGAAATAACTCTTGGTAAAATGCCAGCAAATGCGAAGGAAAAAAAAAACTTACAAATAGAATACATTTACATTTTTCAATGAGAATAATATAACAATCAGCATGAAGCGGTCAACTAAATTATTATAGTTGAGAATCCTTCATTGGATTTCATAAAATGTAAGTGTGCATGTCTGTCTGTTATCAAGGTCTTGCATGTATAAAAGCACTGGTAAATATGGTAAAGATCATCTTACAAAGAAAATAATGTATATTCAAATTGAGAAATATAAGGGTCAGCATGAAAGAGCAGCCAAGTTATAAGAAGATAATATTACAAGAAGTATCCTAAATAAATTACAAAGCTGTATAGTTTGGAGACCCTTAATAAAAACAAACGAGGTAACATCAGAACCATTGCTAAGCTCCCATCAGACGTTTACCATCACTTCTCTGTGTGTTGTGCTCAGCGTTCCCATGGATGAACACTCCCTGAAAGCCTGGCCTTCCAAAAGCGTGTCCTATGACCATCACCCAAAAAATAGATCTATAAATGTAGAATTTAGCAAATTAGTCAATTCATTTAGACTTTAAAAAAGTAAACATTCACTCATACAACAAAGAAAAAATCATTATAAAACAACAGAATATAAAATAACAGCAAATAACTATGTCCACGTAGATGTATTTGAGAAAAAGATAATAATAAAACTGCAACTCCTACCCTATTCCATGTAATTTAAACAATAGTTTTATATCATGTAATCCCTATATTATATGATTGAGATAAAAGATATACGATACTAATCTAATGCTGGAAGCAAGACCAGAGGGAAGGGGGCGTGGCCTCCCATTGCTGTGGCAGTATGATGTGGCAGAGCTTGGAGAGGCCAGTCTGGCAGATCAAAGCCAGCACCATAGAGATTCT